AGGAAAATGATTTTGTAACTGGTATTTCAAGGTAAAAACTTACATACAGTTGCTTTAAATGTGCACTAATTAACAGTTATATTTCATTGGTTCCTATATCAGTGTTTCTCAGATGGTTTTGCTTTTAAAAAATATTAATAATAATTTGTTACATTTATATAGTGCTTTTCTGGGTACTCAAAGCGCTTTACATGAAAGGTGACCGTGATTTCACCAAGTACAACGTGTTCTTTTTAAATGATTACTTATTACTTAATACGCCTTTAATCTGTAATAATTTTTATGTACCAATGGCTAGTCCATCTGTAAGGTTATGTATCCCATCTCCCATGACCACCATCCATGCCATGCTTCTGATGGCCATCTTCCCTGGTCCAGTCTGCCCATGAGAATGGCCATGCCCTGAACTCTCATTCTGATTGGCTGATGAGGTACCTATGACAGAGTTCAAATGAATTCAGAGGTTTCATAAATATGAATGAATTAATGCTCTTTCTCTTGTCTGAAAATAAACATACCCTGCAGTGCGTCCAGCTCCCTTCCAGACTCTGCATCATGTTTCCTTTTCTTTAAATTCTGTTTGAAGAAGGGGCAAAAAAATCCATTAATGGAAAACTTCTCCAGATCTCTTTCCCCAAAATAAATAATAATTAAAGTCCCACTGGATGAAACTTGCCTTGAAATGCTGTTTAAGTCCCAGAATGCTCTCAAAGGCAAACAGAAGGTAAAGTCCTCCCAACACACTCAGACCCTTGAAAACAGCATCCTGATGTTCAATGTGCTGACTGAAGATGGCCTAGAATCACAAATAATATACATCTGTAGCACTTGAATTATTACAGAAGGTCAAGGTCAACTTTATTAATGCTTATTATGCTTAATTTTGTATTTTGCTTCTTACATGGGGCAGGAGGTGCAGGAGGGCATCTCCGCATAACGTGCCCACTGCCATGCCAGCCATCGGGCAGAGGAATATTTGAAGGATGGAAGGTTGAAGCAGGGGTGCCAGTCCCAGGGCAACCAGGGAAGGCAAACTGATAACAAAGAGTGCCAAGGAGGCCCATCCTAGTGCTGAGATACAATGACTTTGTTTAACCTGCACTATCATGAAAACAAACACAAAATTGATTCTGATATCACACTTGTAGCCACCGTGTACACACACACACACCTCTCAGGAAACCCTCGCTGGTTTTGCTTCCCTGGGACTGCTCCTCTGTGTGCCGCAGACACACTCCGCTGTCAATCTGGTACAGGAGGGCAGGACACAGGAAGGTGAAATGGGCAGGAGTGATATGGGACGCTTGGCCTAACCCGAAGTTCCACAGGAGCTGGGTAACATTTAGACACTGCAATAAGGGAGAACGAAATATGAGATGAGAGTCAGATTCAACATTATTACATGGCTCTCTGAAATACTCGATTATGATTGGTCATTCAAAGCTTGCGCTACTTCCATGTCTCTCGTATCACACCGCAGACTCACTTTCTCTTGTTTTCTACAAACACAACTGATGCCATGTTCTGTATCAGTTATCAGCCGTAGTGAAAATGACCTCAGAGGACTTTAAGTTTTAATATTACTGTAACGTTGCAGTGGTCATGTCACTTTTGTGCATTGTAATGGACTGTTTATTTCCTTATTGAACAATTTACAATAATATACAGGCAAAATTATACTGATTTATTTTGCTGTAATGAGGCCTGACTTTACTGTATTACTACAAAAGTTGAAATTATGAGGTAAAAAGTTAACATTTTGGTATACTATATCATAATTATGTGATTAAAAAGTCAAAATTGTTACATAAAAAGTCATTATACGGCAAAATTTTTCATGTCATAATTATGACTTTTTATCTTATAATTTTGAATTTTGTCCATTTTTATTTCATGATTTCAAACTTGTCAATTGTTTTTCTCATAATTTTGACTTTTTGTCACAATTCCAGATACTTCTGACATATTTCTGACTTATGTATATTTTAACTCATAATTTTGATGTTTTATAGCATTACTTTTTTTTTTTTTTTACATAATTTTGACTTTTAGATTATATAATAATATAATAATTACTATGATTTTAACTCATAATTTTGATTTTATCTCATAACTGTGCTATGTAATAATTATGGCTTTTTAGTCCATAATTATGACATTTTAGCCCATCATTTTGATGTTTTATATCACTTTTGACTTTTTATGTTACAATTATGACTATCTCATAATAATAACTTTTTCTCATAATTTTGACTTTTTGAATTATGACTAGATATTTTATCATTTTGACTTTTTATCTCATAATTACGACTTAGTATCTCATAATTTCAAAGAAAAAGGCTTCCATACTTACATAGGCCTATGTGTTTACATATTGCATATATTGTGATGTAGATGTTAATCCACAGTTGAGCATGTTTGTGTGCTGGTAGTCCAAGAAGGCTTCTTGAGTAGGTTAACCAGCATAATCTGATCAACCAGCATCACCAGAAGATTCGTGATGGTCAACCAGCTTTGCAAACGTTTTCCAGAGTTTTGCAGATATACAGCATTATATCATATTCTGGTCCACCATCTAAACCAGCACTAACCAGCTTAAACCAGTCCTCTCAACAGAGACCTCTAACATGATTATCTCTCTCCAAAATAGTTTGTGTACCTCACACAGATAGAATGAATTGAATTTTACTGTCTGCACACCTCAAGATATCAACAGACCTTTGGTCAGGTGATAGTGAAGAGAATTCAGTGGTAGACTTTGTCCATTTGTAACACTCTAACAGGAAGTTTAGGAGTAAATACTCACATTCCCATGAAGGTGTTTCTCTGTCGGATGGTCTGACAACGGTGGCACACTTTCTTCCAGTTTGTGTCTTAGACCAGGGTGTGGAAAATAGTCTGAGTGACCCCATTCTGCAGGAGATCCACTGAGCACTGACTTAATGTGAGGTCTGGGATAGAATATTTTAATGGATTAGTCATTGGAATGAGCATAAAACTGTATTTGAATTATATAAACAATAACCAGATCAAATACAGGGGAATTCAACTCTGGTTTTGTGGGAATAATAAAAGGTTACATTTTAAAAAGCTGAATTTATAGTCAATAACCACAGTAAGTGTAAAAAAAGACTGTAAATTGAGTAGAGAATATTACAATAATGCTTTAGCCATATTACCTTTCTTTGAGTGGAGGTGAGTTTGTGGTCCTTTGAGGATGATGATGGTCTTCATGTGAGTGGAAATGGGATTGGGGTTGAGAAGAATGCTTCACTCCACCATGTCGGATCTCCAGGACACTGACCTCCCCAAGACCTAAACTGCCAAGCAACTTCTGCAGACCCTCATAGGTCAAAGTCCCATTGTCCCCATACTGAAGAAATAGGCGTTGCAAGTAGTAGCCCTTGGAAGAAGATTAAATCTGACTATTTTACCAACAGACATAATTTTCAGGGTTCACACATGTCAATGTCTTTATGATAGTGCTTTGGTGACATAAACTTAGTATGCAACCGTAACTCCACATACGTACTGAAACCACAACTCTAACCTAGTTAAATCTGAGTGATTGCATCAGTCATTGTTGATAAGATTTTTTGCACTCAGTGTAACCCTCAAGCAAAAAGCACTTGATCTCTTAATGTTTTGAAAAATCCCTCAAGGAATGTGGTAGATCTACTTTACTAGACATGTAGGGACGAGTAAATCTCAATAGTCACTGTCGATTCTTAAAGACAAGAAACAAATGTTAATAATTAACGTTAAACGTTATGATTTGACTCGTCCAAAGAATAGAATCATCCAAATGTACCTGCTCTTCAAAAGCTTCCTCTAAGTGTTCCTGTGTAGATTTGACTTGTGTGCTTTCATTCGACTTTCTGAGCTTGTCGACCTGGACATGTGTTGCCAGTACAAGTATGGCTGGTTTCATCACAGAAATCATACAGTGGTAGAGCAGAAGATTGAAGCTCAGAGTCGTCCTTAGGGAAAGTACCAATAAATATGAATTATTTTAGCATGTGGCAATCAATATAACACAATTTTAATTAAACAAGCATAATTCAATAGGCATTTATAAATAAATCCATATTGCAGTTGGTAAAAATAAATTACAATCCATACTGTAAAAATCATGAGTGAGGGCTCTATAATATCTCTCATGTTCCTTCTAGATGGAATGAGGTTCAAGGGAGACAAAATTGAGACTTTTACTCAAGTTTCCTGCTTCTCGGATTATTCCTCTGAGAAAATAATCCTAATACTCTCATAGGTTTCTCCTACAGTTTAGAATAAATCTCAACAAAATTCCCCAAGATACCAACAGCAGCATTCAAAAGCAGGTATATCTAGCAGAGTATTGCATTGTATTTCAGAAACATGTAAGAAACATTCAGAGCTATGAAAGAGCAACATTTGATCAATATATAGTAATAAAAACTTTAGATAAAGACTCTTAAATCAAAAGCGTACAGAAAGCACATTGCAAAGTAAAGCAAAGTACTTAAAGACTCCAAAATGCCATTTTAAAGAATTTATGCTTTAACTCTAATCAACTCTTTACCAGACTGTCTGTCCGCCCATGATTTTTTTTGCAGTCTCTTAATCCCGTTACATGATTTCCAGTAATTTAACCTCTCAGTATCCTAGTGTTTAAGCATGAGGCATGGCGCAGTTTTATGAAGAGGAGGTTAATGTTTCACCAGCAGGCAGCTTTAAGCCTATCGCAGATCACACGACGGGAAGGCATTGATCAGCTTGGTTTACCTCATGACTATGTGATGTAAATTCAACACATTCTCACTCTCATCCTGTCAAATACATTAAAGTATAGGACCGCTGCAGCCCTACTTAGATAGATAGATAGATATATAGATAGATAGATATTTTTAAATAATTCCTGCATAGGACATATATATATATACACGTTCTTAGATTAGTATGCACGTAATATAAGAGTAAATCAGGTATAATTGCTCCTCCACACACACTCTGTCCTGTAGGCGCAGCAGCAGATTCCGTCAGACTTCATCCGCTCGGCTCAGGAAGAGAAATCAGCCATCTCTCAGATCACTGCAAATATCACAGGCTTTAAATCCAGAAATCACATTAAGCCTGGGAGGAATACCGCGATCTACGGGAACAGGCATTACAGTCCTGCTGAGTGAGTTTCAACGCTTTATTTATGTCGACTTGTAAAATTACCGGATAGTAGCACAAACTGGAGGCAATACAGTGACGAAACATGAACACAACAAGACGTTATTTGATCAGAACAGTATTTAAATGACATTTACAGGGGTTTTAGTAGTGGCTAGAATTTGTAATGTGACATTTAAGGACGTGTGGTGTAATTAGACCAAAGCTGCTCTTTCGGCGTGCGTCAGCTAGTTGGATTTCATGCTAGTTAGCCACGCTAGCTCCTTGGCATCAACGCATACACTTTAAATGTAATTTTACTGTGAAAAAATAAATTTTAAGACATTCGTTCCTTATTATACGCAAAAAACACAAACGCAGTAAGGAAGGCACGTGGTTGTGATGATTATGTTGGTTGTTTTTGTACAGCACCTTTAGCGAGCTGGCTAATGCTAAGCGCCTAACGTTACTCGCTCAAACACATCAGCAGACGTGTGTTACAGGCTGGCAGAAGCTTTTTTACATCGCCAGGAGGTTTAATAGCTGTACAGATGTTTGCAGCTGTCCTGTCCTGTCTGGTTAATTGCTGTATGAATGTATTTTGGCAGAAGTACAGTTAGCCTGTCTGTCTGAATCCAACATGACATTGTATTCGTATTCATGGCTGTCTGTAATGTTCAGCTGCTATTTATGATCAATATGCATCTTGTTTAAATGGCTGCATCTGTACATTTAACCCCTAACATTATCCAATTTTATATGCTAAGAGACAGGACTGTCATGTGTATAGATTTTTGATGCAGAAACATACCACCATTTTGCATCAGCAAAACAGCTGATATTTTAATATACATCGTCTCATACTTTAATTTAAGGGTTTGTCAGACCTGTCATCCAATACATGATCCAAAATTTCAGGCAGTTTACACTTACTTAATGGAACAAAAAACTTAACACTGGTAAATGTGTGCCAGTGTAGCTGTGGACTCCCAAATGTGCTCTTGGTGATCTGATCATGCATCCGTGCCACTAAACCAGATCTTTACTGAATAAAAGTGAGGAATGCCATTGCTGAAATGGGGGCTGAGGGGAGAACGAGCTAAACCACCCACACTCTCCCCCACCATCTGCTTAGACAAGCTAAAATTAGGTCACCACCAGCCCTTGCAGAACTGTTATGAATCTGAAAAGATGCTGTGTCTACATAATGCAACCCCCTTTTTTTGCTTTGGATTTGTTTTACCAAATTAAGAGAATGGATCTGTGTCTTAACATCAGCATTCTGCTTCTTGTTTAATGACTTATCAGATTCCAAAGGAAAAAAATTGTGCTCCTGGATAAGTGCTTTACATCACACATGTCTAATCCTTGCTGACTACATTTGCTTTGTTTCAGTAGGCTGTGGGAAAGCGACGGGCGTCTAAATCATGTTGGCACACGCCAACCTAAAAACACAAGTTATTGTGAAAAATGCTAGGGTGTAATAGATCGTTACCAGGCTGTTGCTTTGTGTTTGCTGGGGTGTTCTGGGTGGGTACTTTACTACCAGCCCAACCACAAGCCTCTATGATGATTTGGTCCCTATATATGGCTCAATGTAAGTCTATGGGATTTTCTTTTTTGGCCTGCCAGGCAAACTCTAATTGGATGAGCCACATTCGAGTCATGGTTTCTTAATTGCTCTCGAAGCTCTGCCTACTGATGGCCACCCAAATATATATTGCAAAATTATATTTCATTACACGTCATACCATCCAGCCCTGTGATTGCGTGTGCATTTGTAGCTTCCACCCATACGTCATCAGCCTCTTGAATGAGTTGGCTCTTAATTTGATTGCGATGCATTAATGGTTTTGGTCTTTTGGATTTCCACTTACGAGACAAAGAGGGAGGAAAAAGCATCCATAAGCTTAAATGATCATAGTATACAAAACATCTTGAAATAGGAATGGACTAATTGACAGTAAATACGCCAAACTTGTCTGAAGATTCCAGGAAATGTTTCAAACAAGCTTTTTAAATCTTAATTAAATTGCTTTGAAATAAATAGCAGTGTATTGATTGCATCGTAATGGATGTCTTGTTTTCTCTTTCTTAAGGGGGATGTTCAGTCTTGCATCGTAAGGAAGATCGCCTTGCCCACCTGACACATGAGGACGACTCATTGTACAGGGATCATGAGGGCTGCGCTTTCGTGAGGTATGAATGTACATTTCTTTTTAATGTTTCACACGATATAGTTGCAAAGAAAATGTAATCCTTTAATGCTACTGTGTGTTATATAATCACTTGGATCATGCATATTTAATCAGAAATGCATTTTAGTAGGGTTTATATCTTTTGTACTTTGTGGTACTAAAAGGTCTGCTTTCTGTAATTCTGTATGGGTGTTAATAAATTAATGATTTCCGCCATAAAATCCGGTCCACTTTGGCGCTTATTCTGGCTAAGAACTGTTCTTATTTGTAATCTAGGAATGGGTTTATCCTAAATAGCTGGTACCAAAATAGTAAATTGGCACTGAAAACTACGGCTGCAAAACGATTAATCGCATTGAAAATAAAAGTTTACGTTTTAGTGCTGTCAAACAATTAATCGCGAATAATCGCATCCAAAATAAAAGTTTTTGTTTACATAATATATGTGTGTATACTGTGTATATTTATTATGTATATATAAATACAAACACGTGCATATATTTAAGAAAATGTTATATTTATATATTAAATATATTTATATTAGTGCTGTCAAACGATTAATCGCGATTAATCGCATCCAAAATAAAAGGTTTTGTTTGCATGATATTTGTGTGTGTTCTGTGTATATTTAAAACTTTTATTTTGGATGTGATTAATCGTGATTAATCGTTTGACAGCGCTAATAATATAAAATATAAGAATATGGATATGAATATAAATGTATAAACATTTTCAAAATATATACTGTATGTGTGTGTATTTATATATATATATACATCATAAATATACACAAACACATTAGTGTTGTCACGGTACCAAAATTTCAGTATTCGGTACCAATACCAGTGAAAATCCACGGTTCTTGGTACCAAAACAA